ATGGAGATAATAATAGCACCTACTTCCCAAGGTTGTCATAATAAAATGAGATAATATTTGTAAAGTATAAATGCAAGTTATTACCACTATAGTCATCTACCACCTCCAATACTGAACCTTCCCTGTGACAATGAAAAGCAAAAATATCTGATTTACAAACCTTATCTGACAATGTAGAGTATATTCTGTCCTAGTAGACTTTGTCTACCTATCCACTCTACCTCCAATGACACACAACCCCCTTCTGCTCTGAGGATGGAGTTATCTATGTCTCATAACCTCTTCTCTGGCACTTTTCTTGGTTTTTCCATCACTCAGAGGTCAATTTCTTTTTACTGATCTTTTCATTGATTGCATTGGAAGTCATTGTGTATATTATTTTTTTCTGCTTATTTTGCTTTACATCAGTTCATACAAATCTCATGTTTTTATGAATTCCTCAAATTGATAATTTCTTAGTGTATGATATTCCTCTACATTTATGTACCTTAGTTTTTTCCTGCCATTCCCCAATGGATGGACACTCACTTTGTTTACTGTTCTTTGCTACCACCAAGAGCTACTATGAATATTTTGATAAATGACCTCTATCCAGACCAACATGCTCTGACTCTGGCACTTGAAAATCCAGTAAATTTCCCCAGGGGGTCTATTCAACTTGCAGTCTGAGTTGATATGAATCAACCCCAAAGCTGTCAAATTCTCTTTCACTCCTTCCCTTTTGATGCTACAAATTGAAGGTACTTTCAGGATTGCCTTACATGAACATAATATTCATTCAGAGGTTCCCTTGCCCCTGTAAAAGCTTTTCCATCTGCTTGATGATACCTAACATTCCCAGGTCCTATGGTTCCCCAGCTGCAACTGAAAGGGACAATGATGACAGTTCAAAAGAAATGTCTGAGTCAGTAAAATGCCAACCTCAGCTGGCAGACAGACAAATTAACTTATTAGCAGGATATAGAAAACAGTGAGCAAGGCCTATTTTTACTTTCTCTTTTTAAAGGACATATCTTTCTGCTTCCTCTGCTCCTCTCCTTTATGGAGCTTTCAACCTGGGAAAGATTCATGAGACCTCAATAAGCAAAGATAATGCGTATTGAGAAAAGGATGCGTGGTGACAAAACCGAGCATTGAGATGCACTCAATTTTTCCCTTTCTAAAATGCATCCTGGGAAATCTGGAAGCCTTACAAAAGGTAGTCCCAAATCTCAGAGAATGACCAAATTTTTTTTGCAAGGCTGACATATAATGTTTCTTTTTTCTTTTGGAAATAGTGTGTAAGCTAAAGGGGGGGAAATGGAGCTTGTCTATGCCCCCAAAGGCTCTATCCTGATTAGGATATCCATCAATGCATATTTATGAACAACAATAATAATAGCTTACATGTTTACAGATCTTTTAAAAATATTACAAAAATAATTATTCCAAATTTAACAACCACCAAATAAAATGAGCATTTAGATATACATAGTAGAATAGAAAAAAGATTGTGTTTGAAACTGCAGATCTCTATTATGTACAGCTTGCTTTTCTTTTTAAGTATGTAAGTCCAGTTTTATGGCTTTTTTCAAAGTATTTTCACAAAATAGTTCCTGCCCTCAAGGAGCTTACATTCCGACTGGGAGAGGGGGGAGGAGTGCACAGGGTGGATACTGTATATACAGCACTTCAGATTGACCAAATGTGGTGGTCACTATTCCCCTATAAAGCTCTGTAAAATGTTCAGTGTCAAACATACACTCCACAAATAAATCATTTTGACTATTATAAATACGCAAATTAACCACGAAGGATACATGAAGGAAGACACTATCTGCATTCAGAGAAAGAACTGATAAATGGAAGTTTGTTTGGAATGATTTTACATATACGTATATATATATATACATATACATACTTTTGTCTAATGGTAGTCATCTGGGGGGAGAGGAAAGTAAAAAAGGACAAAAAAGAAATTTACATAACTTTATTATATTTTAAAAGGAATATCAAGTTGTATATAATAGATTTGCAGCTCCATGTGTAATCATCTTTTTTTAAATTATATTATATTATGGAAATGCTTGTTTTATTCCATGAATTAAAAATAAGAAATTTTAAAGGTATACACTGTGCTAGGTTCATATGGAATTGCAATTTTTCTTACTAAGCTATTTCGTTAAATTCCTTTGTTTTAAACCAAAAAAAATGCATTCTTTGTTATAAGAGGTCTACTGGCATCTCTCCACTTTGACTTATCTCTTTTCTGGCTAGAAACAAGGGAGTAGCCTCCAGCCCAGGGGTGGGGAGCCTGTGGCCTCCAGGCCACCTATGGCCCTCTAGGTCCTTGGGCGCAGCCTTTTGACTAAGTCCAAGTTTTACAGAACAAATTCTTTTATTAAGGGGATTTGTTCTGTGAATGTTTGGATTCAGTCAAAGTACTGCACTTGAGGACCTCGAGGCCACATGTAGCCTGGAGGCCAAAGGTTCTCCACTCCTAGAATAGATAATAAAGCTGAAAGGGTGGTGCCCCAAACAAACTTCATAATCATTCCTCCAACCCTAGCTCTTCTCTCGATTTCACTTATGCCTCTGGCTCTTTCCAATTTTCTTCTTGTTCCATGGGCCGACATTCAGAGTTATGTTTGACTCTTCTCTTCCCCCACCATTTATATGCAAATAGTTCCAAAGTCCTGTTGGTTCCATCTTTTACATCCTCTCTATTCCTACTGCCTTCCTCCTGGTCCAAGAAGACCTCATTGCTAGTTACCTGGACCATTGCAATAGCTTCTCAACAGATCTTACCTTTCCCACTATTCTTCCTCCATTTCACCCTTCACATTGCAACCCATATATCTTCCAAATACATAGATCTGTCTAGTCATAAAATTCTTCTGCCTTTGTCATTCAAGGCCATCTACAATTCAACAGCTTATCTTTTCAGCTTAGTTTATGCTACTCCCTTCCTCCCTACATTCTCTATGCTTCAGCCAACCTGGACTACCTATATTCACCCTAAGTTTTCCTGTCCCTTGCCTGGGCCATCACCAGTCATACTGACTTATGTCTTGCCACTAGGCTCCAAATATTCTGGAGGAGAGAGTGAGGTTCTGCCTCACAAATCCAATTCACTCACAAGTCAAGACATCACCCTTGTGATGTCACTGGTACTCTTTGAGAATGAAGGACGAACAATGACAACAATCCCTTCTCTGGTCCTCTTCTTATGCTGTATCTAATATCTGAAATGCCTCATTCCCTTCTTTTTCCTCCTCACCCATTAGATTCTTGCCCTGCCTTTAAAACCTGACTCCAATATCATGTTCTCTAGAAAGTCTTTCCTGATCTTGCCAATCACTAATGATTTTCCCCAACTGAAACCTTGCCATAGGACATGTTTTATTCTTGCAGCAGGTCATTGAAGACCAATTCTCTACAAGTGGAGAGAAAGTCTTCACTGGGAGAGCCTCTGAGAGATGTAGGAACCAAGTACATTTTAACAAGACAATGTTGTTGGTTTTCCCCCCTAGTGCTAGAAGAGAAACATCGTAAGAATCAAAACACAGGGCTAATAGGGGAGCCCCAAGAGCATGACTTCTAAAAGAAGAGTCTGAACAGGGACTTCAAAAGAGAGACAGAGAGAAAAGGGCATAGAGGAGGCTGGCACAGCTGGTGTTTGAGCAGCCAACTTTATCTGTCAAGATGAGTGTGACTCAGGTAGAACAATACTTATGAAACTTTTCTCTCTGGGAGGTCTGATAAAGAAAGGTAACATGCCCTGTCTCTCCTTTTCCCCTTCCTGGGTCAGACAGCACATGTTAAATCCAAAGTTTTCTTGTTCTTCAAAATTTGTTTACAATTTTCATTTAGTTTGCCAGCTCTATAAAGTGATTGATCAAAGCTACTTCTTACCTGTCTGTGTGCTTCATTATTTGTGACTAAGGAGTTATAAAAAGAAAGACAATGAGGAGAGAGAGAGAAAGAGACAGAGAAAGAGAGAGAGAGAAATTCTATCTGAATGGGGGAGGGGAAGAGGGGGAAGAAAAGTAAATCTCTCTGACTAGGGATTCAGAAACTATATGAAAGTCAATCTCATAAATCTTTAAATATTTTAATATCAAAATCCCAAGGCAACATAAGACATGGGCCCAAGGTTGTCCCTTAGTGAAAGCAAGCCAGTCATCACAGCTGTCTGGGGGAAGGCGGCCTGCTTCTTTAAAGCATACTACATTCTCCATTATTCCCCTTCCAGGAAGGCTCAGAAGAACCCTCTGCCAGAATGGAGAAGAGGGTGGAGATTACAGAGCGGATCATGCCCCATAGGAGGAGAAAAGGAGAAGCTGGAAAAGACTAGTAATACCCACATTCCAAAGGGGGGGGCCAGAGGAGAGTAAGATTCCTATGCTTCCCTTCCTAACAGCTCACCAGATGAACTTTGCTGCCTCATTCAAACAACTTTCACACCCAGCCACACATTTATACAATTAACTCATATTATCTTGTGTTAAAGTGATTTGCATATATGTATCATATCCCTAGCTAAACTCAGGTCCTAAAGTTCTTAAAGGATAGGGACCATGTCCTATCTTAACTTTATATTTTCCTCACTCCCCATGCTCAGTCAATCAACCAATCAATTGACAAGCATTTATTGAGCACTTACTATGTGCCCAGAACTGTGCTGGGGACCAGAAATACAAAGACAATAAACGAAACAATCACTCCTTGTATTGTAACCAGGGAGACAATAAGAATATATATAAGTGTGTATGTATTATGTATGTGTGTGTGTGTATGGAGAGAGAGAATGAATAAATTCAACACAGGTTGTTTTGGTTTGTTTGTTTATTTTAATCAGAATCCTTCCTCTGGATCAGAGAGGGCTAGAGGAGGCTACAGAAGAAATAGGAGAAACCAAATGACATGTCATCTCTCCTAGCTGCAGCTTCAGCCAATGACAGTCATAGATAAAAAAGCACAGTTAAAATTAGACCAGCAGTACCTACTGATTGATATACCAGCAATGAAGAACTAAGGTCTACTGAGGGCACACAGGGGCATTTGGACTGGAGGGCAGTGTATTTAATAAATGACCTGCCTACCGAGTCTCTCCTCCTTTCTCCAGGCAGAAACCTCTGACAGAAAACAGCTGCTCTTTCCATGCAGCTTTCCTTGTTAAACAACCACCTAGTTGTAGCAGACTGCTAATAAATGCAGGAGAAGGAAAAAGCTTGTAAGCTGAGCCTGGTCACATTGCTGAGTGTGATATAGTTTTATTTTTAACATCCAGGCACTTGAGCTATTTCTGCAGAAGTTTTCTCTCGGCCTCCCCTTATTCTCAGCCTCCCCTAGGGCACTGCTTCTCTTTTCATCAGCCGTCTGCTCGAAGCCAGGAGACCCACGTGTGGTAGATATCATTGCAGGGGATATATGATTAAGGTAAGACTTTTCAAAAGGGAAGGCCTAAGCCAATGCAATCTTTGTTCTCAGATATCAAAAGACACCAGAAGATCTTTAAAACTTGACTCGGCCTGTCTAAAATGAAGGCGGTGGGGTTGTGGGTCAGGGGGGAGGAGACAGTATAAAATTGTTTTCTGTACTCTCTAGGATCCCAAACAGAGATTCCCTAAACAAACTAATAATATCAGCGAGAGAGGCTATGAGGGAGGGGACTTAAAAGAAGAGTTGTTTTTTTTAAGAATTCATTTTGAATCCTAGCTCTTAGAGTGAGAAGAGACTGAAAGACTCATCCTTCTGCTTACAAGGAATCACTTTCAATTTTTTATAACCCTTTAAAACTTACAAAGCACTTTAAAAGTATTTTGTTGACATATCTTTTGTTCTTACATCACTATCATTTCTGAATGTACTCTTCCCTCCCGCCACCCAGTGAGTGCCCCTTTGTAACGATGAAGAAAAAAGAAGTTAGCTGGGGTTAATTATCCTGTCTGGATCAGTAATCCTGAAATACTTCTATTTCGTCTGAGAGTAGCTATGTCGTTGCATAGTGGACGGTTCTCCACCTCTCCAAGGAAAGGAGGAAGGTTAATCTTGTCATCTCTTCTCTAGGGCTAAGCTGAGTCAATAGAACTCATCACACAGCGTACATTTCATTATCTTTTTCTTTCCCTTTAACTATAATATAATTGTGCATACTCTTCATTTGGTTCTGACAAAGTGCTTTCTAATGAAATAGGTTGGACAAGTATTACTATCCCCATTTGGCAGATGAGGAGACAGGAAAGATATGAAGTAATAAACTGGGCAGCTAGGTGGTCTAGTGGATAGAGCACTGGTCTGGGAAATAGGAAGATTCATTGTCCTGAGTTCAAATTCTGCCTCAGACACTCACTAGCTGTGTGACCCTGGGCAAGTCACTTAACTCCATTGCCTAGCAAAAAAACAAAACAAAAAAAAACAACAAGAAAGAAATCTAGCACCAGCAACTAACGGTCTCTGAATGCATAGGACATGCTGGTTGTATGAGCCTAGGTAAGTTTTCTAAGCTTAAAAGCTCTAGGCAATTGTCTGAGAAGGTATAGACTTGCATTGCTAGAGACCATTTCCTCATCTGAAAATTCATTGTACCAATAAAATGACAGATGAAAAGGACCGGCTTCTATCTAATTCCTATAGATTGTAATTGAATCCCAGAGAGAAGTGACTTTCCTGAAGTATCTAGTAAGTGGGGGCAGGGGACTAGAACCCAAGTTTCCTACCTTTTACTGCCACCATCTTTCCACTACAGGAAAGACTTCCACTGAATTCTTTAGCAATTTATAAATTTAGAGCCAGAAACGACCTTAGAGTCCCCCAGTTCAATGCATCATTTCAGAGATGAACAAACTGGGACCCAGAAAGACTGACTTGCCCATGGCCACAAAGCTAGCAAGGGGCAGAGCCAGGATTCAAACCCAAGCTCTCTAATGAAAAATCCACTGTTCTTTCAACTATCGAAGCTCCAAATCTTTAATATCTAGGCCATATCAGGTCCTCTAAAGCTCTCTGCCAAGAAATATTTAGCAAACCTAATTTGAGATAACTATATGCCTGAAAGCAATAAAAGTACACTTTCTAAACAAAAACCCGGTAATCTGAATGATTGAAGATCTAAGTATGCACACAACATACTTGAAGCCCCAGGCAAGAGACAATGACCTAATGACTGAACCTGACAAATGCTTCACAGCGAGGAAAGGAAAAAGGCTTGAGGGACTTTTAGATATTAATGACCCAGGACGTTGAGGATCTTTTAAATGTAATTAGATAATTCTTGCCTTTGCTCCAGGGAAGTGGCCTTATTGAATGACGGTGGTGCTATGTTTGATTTCTTCCTTTTTCAAAACTTTGGTTTAGTGTTACTGAGCTGAGGTTCTGCTGAGGTTCTGCTGAGGACTTCTGACCAACTGGCATGTGTAATGCAAGGGATGCTTAGGATGTTGGTAGGAACATGGGATCGAACTATTTAGTTTGCTCTTTAAAAAGAAGGATGTTGGACTTAGATGATCCTAAGTCTAACTCAAGCAAAGCAAAACCGAGGAAAAATGCAAAGACTCAGATGATTTAGGCAGCAGCATTCCCAACAACCACCTGTTCTCTGTTCCTCTTCTTGGAGGTGTGACAGAGGAAAAGGGGATTTGAGACATGAATCATTGCTATTTGCTACCAAAATAGATCATCTTTATCATATATTTATTTAACTTTCTAATGGATTTTATGGTCAGCTAGGTGACCCAATGGATAAAGCTCTAGGCTTTATCAGTCAGGAAGATCTGAGTTTAAATCTGGCCTCAGATACTTACTAGCTGTCACCCTTAACCCTGTTTGCCTTAGTTTTCTCATATGTAAAATGAACTGGAAAAGGAAATGCCATACCACTCCAGTATCTTTGCCAAGAAAACCCCAAATGGGCTCATAAAGAGTCAGACACAATTGAGCAACAACTAATAATAATAATAATAATAATAATAATGAATTTTATCTGAATGGAGGAATCCAAGGCTTCAAGGAAGTGTGCAATGAGCTCCTTGTAACATAAGGTATAGAAAGAGCACTATATTTGAAGCTAGAAAAACTGGGTTGAAGTCCGAGTTTTGTCATTTAATAGCTATGTGACACTTGGGCAAGTAACTTGACCTCTCTGAGTTATTCTTATGTAAATGAGGATAAAAATATTTGTACAACTCGTGGTTGTCAAGAGGATCAAATGGGGAAATATATATGGAAGTGTTGTGTAATTTCTCAAGCACTTGATAAATGTCAGCTATTATTATGACTGCCCTGGTCACAGAACCTCAAAAAGGGGCCTGTGGCTCCATAGACCAGGGGAGGAGCCTGGGTACCCACAAGACCATCATTTGGGTACCATCTTCCTCTCCTTACATGACCTCTAGCTATACATAAAACAACCACATGACCAGTTACTACCTTGGCCAGCACAAAGGAAATTACACAAATAATATGACGTGAAGGCATGAACAAAATAATACAGTGTGAGCCAGCATAGCATAGTTGATAGAGGGCCAGTTTTAGAGTTGGGAAGGTTTGTGTATCTGTGTGAAACTCTCTAAGACTATAAGTTTTAGAGAAACAGTCAATCTGCATTTTGGAGAAAGTTTTCTAAATGGGAACTCCTCACATTGGTGAAATCACAGGTCTGGTTTAAAAAAAAAAAGATATAACAATTGATATAAGAGTTAACAAATTTAAAAATGAAAAGGCAAAGAGGTTCCTAGTGCAGATGGAGAGCTAAAGATGGTACTATGCAAACTGTTCGTTTGGCTGTGACAATGATGCTTTGAGATTGTTGTCAGTGGAGGGAAGATGGTGATGTTATAGTCCAGAGAAGCCATGTTGATATCATGGCCCAGTAAGGCAAGATTACTGATGCAGACGTAAGAATTAGCTCCAGCTAACTAGTTGAAAGCTAAAAGAACCTCTTCTGCGTTTAAATTATTAACAGAAGCTAATTATCATAGTCAATCCCAACTTTGCATATCAGCAGAATGATCAGCCCCGGATCGATTTTGAATGATTTGAAGGGAATAAAGAACTCCCCTTCTCCCAAAATAGCTTCCCCTATGCCTGCCACTATTAAAACTGCAATGCCAATTCTATTTTAATTTACCTGAGCTAATTACTCAAAGGTATCTGTCTTTTTGCTCCCACCAGTCAGTTCCTCAGACCCTTGTCACTTCCTAGTTTGGGTTTTGCCATTAGACCTATCCAAGATAGACTCACTTTCTTTATCAACCCCAATCCCAGGAAACAAGTAGCTCTCTGCCTAGATTTTTAGTTCCTCGAGAATTCACAATAAATTCTCCCTTTCTTCTTGTTCTCTGACAAGATTCTGGCATTGTTCAGAATTATTCTAGAACACAGCTGGCTTCTTTTTAACCTAAAAAAAGAGGTTGTTAATTTAATTAGGCTAAACCATTATTCCAGAGGACCAATAATAAGGGGTCCTACCTATTTATTGACAGAGAGCTAATGGTCTTGGGGTGCAAAATGAGACATACTTTTTGGACATTACCAATGTGGGAATTTGTTTTGCTCAAGTATACTTGTCACAAAGGTATTGCTTTTCTTTTTGTCCAATGTGGGAAGAAAGGTAAGGGGGAGAAGAAATAGATTTTTGTTAATTGAAAAAATTAAATTTCAAAAAATTTAAGTAGGCCAGAGGAAAAAAAAATTATGTTCTCTGCTTTTGGCCCACAATTTTCAAACTCTGTCAAAAATTTCTACATACATCTCAACCCCTAGGACCATTCCAACATCCTCTCTCTCAACAGCTTCAAATTCTTTAGAATGTCTTGTTCAGTATTGGATGTGGTCACAAATGATGATTTTCTCAGTTAATTCTCAGTTATCTAAATCCCTATAGAGGATTAATTAATTAAAACTCAAATAATTGTTCAAAGTTATTCTTACTCTGCCTTCATTTGCATAGGCCTGCTACCTCTTTCTCTGACTCCACTAGGCTTTTCCTTTATCCTTCATTGTCTTACTCAAGCTCCAGTCCCACCAGATCAAGATGCTTTCTCAAAGGCCAAAAAAGTCTTTCTTTTAACCAATTAACAATAACACTGAAGCATGCACCAATAACAGCCATTTTTCAGTCACGTGCCATTCTTTGTGACACCATTTAGGATTTTCTTGGCAAAGGTACTAGAGTGGTTTTTGCCATTTCCTTCTCCAGCTCATTTTACAGATGAGGAACTGAGAAAAACTGAGTTAAGTGACTTGCCCAGGGTCATACAGCTAGTGTCTGAGGTCAGATTTGAATTCAGGAATTCAAATTCCTGAGTCAAGGCCCCGCATTCTGTTTAAGAGACATTGTGGAGGAAGAACTGACAATACTTGGTGGCTAACCAGATATAGGAGGTAAAGGTTACAGTGAAGTCAAAAATAAGGACAAGGTTGTGAGCCTGAGGGACCGA